CGCGGCTTGGTCGGCCATCGAACCGGGTAAGCCTTGGCATTTGCCTATCCGCCCCCAGGCTCGAAGTTAGACCCCGCGGCCCTAGAGAAAACAAAAACTTCGTGCTTCTCCTGCGTCGTGGCCCTATACCCCGTCGCAACCCTCTTTTTAGCCTACTTAGGCCCTGACAGCCGCGCGACATTATTATAGGTAGGATGGATTTAGTTTTAGCATTCCTTTATCCGCACATTCCTGCGGCTTCGACAAAAACGTAGCCTTTGTCGTTCACACCCGATACCTCCGGACGTCACATGCGTCCGGACTAAAATCTGAAAACTCTTAGTTTCTCAGTCATAGGTCAGGTCTGAATAAACGTTTGGCAAACGTCAGTCTCATCAAGTCCTTCAATTCAACACAAGAGTCGGACAATGCCCGACGTTCAAAAACACCGGCAAATACCCTTGTCAGGGTTTTTGCCCCGACAGCGTATCCAAGTATCTTCTATTCCGGAGGAGGCGGTGCCAGTATGTTCTCTCTTTGCTGATGATCTCTCCCTTATGGTTGATGCGTCTCATACTAATTTAGACACCATCAAGAGATTCATGGAGATTTTTTGTAGACTCTCAGACATGAAGGTCAACTGGGGTAATAAAACACTAGGTTGGTGGATTCACCATCAAGGAGTTAGACCCCCTGAATCTCCCTGTATTAAATGGGTCCCTCATAATGAACCAATTAGAATCTTGGGTGTGGCTCTCGCAGTTACTAGTAAACCTACCACTACTAATGATGGGATCCTTCAACAGGCTAGATTAAAATTTGACTCCTGGAAAGATAAACATACATCTCTTTTTGGCAGGACCCTTGTTATTAATAATGTAATTTTGGCTTCAATTTGGTATAAATCTGCATTTTGGGCCTTGGATAGAGGCAACCTAGAAGTGTTTAAAAGGCAGGTAGCAGCTTTCCTGTGGCGAGGGAGTCATGATCGTCAGAAGGTTATCAGCAGGGTTGCTTGGTCCGCTATAATTCAACCTAAAACTAAAGGGGGCCTAGGCATAGTTGATCCTCACATTCAGGCTACGACCCTCTCCCTTCAATGGACCAAACGCCTTATTTTTAATCCTTCCACTCCCTGGTCCCCCTTGGCGTATGAGCAGATCAAAAGACTAGCCCCACAAGCCCCAGCCCGTACGGATCCTTTAATGTGGCTTGAAAATCTTTCCTGGTCGCTTCTTAGAGGTTCGTCGGGGGACCTGGACCAACAGGACCTCACTGATAGGCAAGTAGTAAGGAGAGATCTTGGGAAGGATCCTTTTTGGATTACATTAATTAAGAACTGGAGGAAGTTACCCATCCCAGATAAGATATCCCCGACAAGGTGGGAAGAGGTCTGTCAACAGCCGTTATTCAATAATAGGTTTATTAGAGATAATCAAGGTTGTGTCTTGCATTGTATGGATGCCCCGTGGAATGGTTGGATTAAGAGGGGTGTTATGAGAATTAAAGACATATGGAACCAAGACAGTAGGGACTGGTGTTCGCCTAATGAGCTTCATGATCAGCTTAAACCACCAGTACCAGGCCAAGCTATCGAGTCCGAGCCTCGGCCGACCGGTACGCCGATCCGTGCCGAGGCTCGGACTACCGGGCGCAGGCATCCCGAACGTCGGAGTGAAAAAACGAAAAAAAACGGAAAAAAAAAAACGAAAAAAAAAACGAGAAAAAAAAACGAAAA